GCAGCTCCACAGGCTAGGTAGTGTAGCATGACCTTGACGCGCTCAACGTCTGTATCAGACTGCAATTCGCTTTGAAGTGAGCCTTGGTCAATTCGATTCCCAGGACGGTAGCTGATGAAGCAGACGCATATTGGGTGGATGCTTGCTGGGAAACACTGTACTCCATGACGCGTTTTGATGTGGTTTCATCTCGTCAGATAGAGATAGCACGCACTCGAGCCCAGGGCGTTGGGGGATTTTAGCCGAAATCGCTATGCATTTGGCCACCGAGTAACGACGGGCATCAATAGGGACAAGCTGGGAACATCCGGTAGTGAACAATCCCCGGTAGGCAACGACGATCAAAGACCTGAAGGCGCATATGATTTTCAATCCGAAGCGTCAAATTCTCCGTGCCGTAAAGGAGAACAGCCCACACTGCAACTCTGAGTACATAACGTTGAACACGGATGGAAGTCCACTTTTCTGATGTCATAATGCTGATGACTCATGAAAGAATTCCCAACTTTAGCTATGTGCGGACTAACTTCAGCCGCCGAATGACCGACTTTGTTGCTGATTCATCAGTGACTTAAGTGAAGTGTAATCAGCAATCTGGAATTCTTCATGCGGGTGATAATTAGCTGATGCAACATCTTTTAGTAATTAGCCAGCGATCCGTAATTGCGAGACATGGAACGGATTGATTAGATGGTTGAAGCCATTAGGTAAGGAAAGTTACGCAGGGATCAATTGCTACGAACAACTGAGTGTCACATCAGTCGCCCTTCGTAAACACATGGTTTCAGTGCAAACGCGCAAATTCTGAATTGAACGAGAGAACTTACACATCCGCTAAAATAGTGAGTGATCTGCTAGAAGTCGTTCAGGAATCCAAATACCTGGGTAGCTTTATTAGCACTCGTGGGATTGAAGATGAGGTTACGAACCGTATAGCAAAAGCTCGAAGTGCTTTTGCTAATCTCCGCCACCTGTGGCGCAGATGCGACATTACTCTCGCCCTCAAGGGCAGAGTTTACAACGCAGCCGTCCGTTCAACTCTCCTATGTAGTTGTGAAACCTGGCCCATCAGGTCGACTGACATGAAGAGACTCGTCACATTCGATCATCGCTGCCTTCGCAGCTTAGCTCATATCTGGTGGGAACACCGCGTGAGCGATGAGCGTGTTCGACGTCGAGTATTTGGTGCAGGAAGAGCGAGTGAAGAGCTCAGCACCATTATATCACGCACCAGGCTCCGATGGCTGGGCCACGTGTTGCGCATGCCAGCACACCGACTCCCGCGACGTGCATTGTTTGCGCGTTGTGAGTGTGGTTGGAAGAGGAGGAGGGGAGGCCAAGTGATGACTTGGTCGAGAGAAATGAAAACCCTCACTTCGAAGTTGGCGTCGGTTGGTGCATCCCGACTGCCTGGCTGGGGTCCTAAGGACGGTGAACACGTTTGGTTGGACAAACTTGCTGACATGGCGAAGAGCAGGCCCCAATGGCGTTTGTGTTGTGAGTTCCTTTGTCCATCCCCCTCCAATCACGATCTTACTTGTTAGGCATAATACGACTCTCTTTTACGGCAGCCAGCTGTTAACTCTCCGGAACGATGTCCATCCGTTACTGGGGACTCAGCGGGCGTGTTACTGTTTGTTTTTCTTGTCGTTTGTATTGCGGCACAATAGCTGAGGTGTTTTCCACCTCCAGCTAACGTGTAATGATGATGATGATGATGAGGCGCAGACCACGTTTGAGACTGATAGTGAATAACAGGAAGAATACATGAGAGGTTAGTTGCCAACATGCAGCCATCCATCCAGTAAGCATGCTAGCCGGACAGATGGATAGCTCGGGACTTAGGAATTAGGTACTAAAACGCTTACAATTTCTCGTGAAAGCAAAGCAGTTATGCGGATACATCACCAGAACTTTCTCCCTACCTGAAGCACGACTTGAATCATACAAGACCATAGTACGACCGACTCAGGAATATTGTACTATCGTTCACAGCCAATTGAGAAAGAAAGACAGAACGGCTCTGGAAATGTCCAACGATCATTTACCAAGTTGGTCATGGGGCGCTGCTCAAACCTGACTTATTATGATCGCTGTCGAAAACTCCAACTGTATCCTCTTTGGCTGATACGTTTAAAGAACAACCTCGTTCTCTTCTACAACATTATAAACCAACGAATTTACGCAGACAGCACCGCACTTGAACTACGAAAGACTGCAGTCTACCCCACACGTAATGGCGGCTACTTGATACGCACAAACCTTTCAAGTCATAAAACTGGGTCAAATTTCTTCTGAGTGAGATACACTTATCTGTGGAACAAACTACCCCTACAGATACGCATGTGTACAAGCCGTCACGTTTCGAAATTTCCTTCAGACGTTCCTCATTATACCAAATGTGTTGAAGATATTTGACGCACAACAAACTCTAGAAACATTGACAGAAGCTGCTATATAAAACACACGAGCAGATATTCGCTTACAACTAGCTTACCCACTACATGTCATTACATACAATACCAAATCCTGTGTCTGTGCAACCTAGTAGTCCCTCCCTTTTATTATCTACTCCGGATGATACAAACATCCGTAAATTTTACGTATGAGGAGCACGGGTCTAGGACCCTAGGGAAAAAGATCATGATCTGAAATTCTATTAATAAACTTTACTATTATGAAACATATTCACTATACAAATGATCACTCCCACTTATGGGGCCGTGTACCGCCTGTCCGTAAATATACAAAGTTATTTATTTATTTATTTAGATAGTAGTTTTAGCATACCAATGGGAAAACTGGAGCATTCTGTGATGATTAAGCCACGTGAGACAAGAATGAAGAGAAACTTTCAGTGAAGAATCAGTAGTGATGATTCTCGTACGACTCGTGCGGAAAGAAACAACCGAGCAGTGTATTGGGAAATCCTCGTGCGTACAGGGTGAGGAAGATGTTGGGCAGTAAGAGAACACCGAGTAGTGAGAGTTGTGCCCCAGTCAAAGACTCATAAAACTCGTCACGATTAGCCAGTTGATTTAAAAGTCAGAAATAGAGAGAGAGAGAGAGAGATACGACAGTATGTTTGAGCAACAGAAATAGACCGGTCATTATGAGAAGAGGATGCAGGGCAAGGATGTCAGGCCACCAAAAGCATAAAAGCCTAGCTATACCGCAAGCGACACACCAGTAGTTTGAAGAAGCTTTTATGTGTTACGTGGGGAAAAAAGACGGGAGAGGAAAATGGCATGTGTGTGAAAGGGGACCAAGAGACAGGGGAATGAAACTGCACTAAATGGTGATCTTTCCTAAAGAATAAGGAAGCTTAAATTCAATGAGCAGTGTAAACTGTCAAGCGGCTTGATACCTTAAGCAACTCATTTCCACCTGAATCAAAATGACAAAGCCGGAACGGAATAACAGCACTAGTTACAAACAATTAGAGGTACCAAATGTACAATACTGACAATTTACGCATCCAATGAACAATGAATTTTTACGGGTTAAGAAGCGTTGCTTTACAAGTCCCGTTGGATAGGTGGTGGGGATATCAACAAAACAATAATGATAACAAGGATAGTAAAATAGTTAATACTTTAAATTGGAAAATAAAGGCTTATCGTTTGCTTCGCTGTAGTCCTGCGATCCTCTTGGATTCACAGCACCTACAGTTAACAACAAATAATTCCATGGTAACCTCCAGGTGTAGGATGGAGACGTAGTGTTAAGTAACGAAGTGTAAGTGGATGAGTGCATCGTCCAACCGTCTTTTAAATACTGTTAGTGTCGGTGCAGAGACGGTCGATTCTGGGAGAGCATTCCACGGGTGACAAACACGAGTGGAAAATAAATTCCTGCGTATCAAGAACTTGCAATCCACCACTAAGAGGATACAAATATGGTTTGCACTGTGGACAAGTACACACTAGCGGTGTCTTAATATGCGGCGTTTATTATATGAAATTGAATTAAGACAGGTGACCAACGCGAGGATGTGGTACGCAGCCGTGGGCGCTGTGTCCACTTGTCGCGCCCATTGATTGCTTAGCAATGTGATGATGACTCGACGGTATACGAACGAATTGGTTTCCAAGCAGAGGCCTGCACTCACATCAACGTTCCGAGAATGTGAGTTTAGGGACAATACGAGGTAAGACGGACCACGTATGGTAATGTAAACGAAAATCCCAGTTAGATGTGAACTTCCAGAACAGCGCAAGGGGACACGATCTTGAAAGTTAAGAGCACCGATTATAGAACCGGTGGCACTAGATAGAGTGAACCGGTTTCCATGGAATTGAAACAAAGAAATCCGCGTGGACAGTTAAAACTTTATGTACTGAGACCAGTCTGCATCTGAAATACTCACTAATGAGGACCGCCCACTCTACAGGGCGTTATCTGAATTCGTATTAAACTCCTGGGCTAGACAGAGCTATAAAGCTATATACGCCCGCACAATGGCCTATGTATGGTACATCAGTATTGCCTTGTTTGTAACGTTTTTTGGACCGATAAAAATCCAGTAAAGCAAGAGCTGATTCGCACATTACTTCACTGATATTAGCTCTGTCAACTTTATTCCCGACGATTGTGGTTTTACAGCTGCCATCATGTACTATATTACACGTTATTACATTACTTAGCGCTATCCGTGGTGTGCACAAAGCGCATTCTTGACCTGACCTGAGACAATTTCCCAAAGAGAATGTTGGCGGGATGATTGTAAATGTAGAAAAGAGTTGAGGGTCAGATCACAGTTCAGAGGCAATGACAAAGGTTTCTTTGTTAAGGCATAATAGATCAATGATAGGTTGGGACAAGTGTATAAACGTAGCGGGGAAACATATTGAGAAAAAAAACATTTCCTTTTAAAAGTCTCAGGATGAGTTGCACGACACTCGTAAGTAATGAAGATCCGCCAGGATGAAATTGAGATTTAGCGAGATGTGACTGTTAAACACGAAGACGCAAGGGACACGATTGTGTGCGTAACTTACTTCGTTCGGGTCGCCCATTTTCAATTTCTTCAAAAGGCCGATTAGTTTCTGTTTGATTTGTTTTTGCTACAACGGTCGGGAAAAAGGCAACGAAATTACTGCTCGCAATATTTGCACATGTAAGGAGTGTGTGTAGGTAAATGAATGCGAGGATAAACATGACGCGGGTGAACAAACATGTCAACCTTAAATGGTTGGCGGCATCCGGCTCCGGAATTGGCTGTCACTGCGGCTCCGTATGACAGCCACAGGATTTCTGCGGCTACAGAGCGACCATGGGTGGCTTGCGCTGCAGCAACCGCAGCGCCATCGACACACGCGATATCCAATGTAAACCTGAAGGAATAAGACCGGGCGGCTCGCGGATGGGAGCCAGGTTTCATCAACGGAATCGGCCCACACGCCATGAACATGCACAGCATCAGCATTCCTAACTGTATGGGGAATCATGCGTACCAGACGTGCTGGGCTGTAGTCCGCTCCACACTAGATGGAATCACCCTTTGAGCCCAACACGAAATGCGAACCATGCATCACGCCCCCCAGCAACGAATTAGTCTGCTGGAGCCAGACTAGCCGGGGTGGTGGGTAATAGACAGGTAGACACCATGTCAACATTCACATCAAGCGCAGTCACACCGGGGATATCAATCAACAGCCAACGCCTGAATTGCAAGAATCTCAAAACGCACAGACGAACTGCAATGACGATGCGGCACACGCACCACACCAACCGCCTTATTGACCTGGGATAGTAAATTGAATCGGAAGCAGCGAACCTAAGAAGCGCCGCGCTGATGATGACCACAGATTTAGCGTACTCGTCTTCTCCTAGACGTCGGTCAGACGTGGCGACGCTGATGGCTTACGAAGCCAGATCTGCTCAAGCACTCGCGGCCGCATGTGCTACACCACAAATGCACTTGACGTCGATGAGCTATCCACCATCGGTGCCTGTCGTTTCCTCAACCGCCGTTTCTTTTCCGCATGCAGTATGGATTACTTATGCACCTGGGCAACCACCCATTTGATATGCTCTCACCATCAGCGCCGATCAACCGCCACAAAGCAAGCATGTCTGCGAGTGCCAATATAGTCATAATAACAGGAGGGCACAGTCTGAAGCATCCGTTGTGCGATCGGACTACGACGCCTCAAATTGAAGCGCAATTGGCATTGAAGTGAACCTTGGTCAATGTGATCACTGAGCAGCCCAAAGGCAATTTCTAGCCATTATTCTTGTTGCTATATAGACCACCTAATTAGCAAGTGGTAGGAGGTTGCAACACAGATGTGATAGTTGTATGAAAAGTGTTTGAAAAAGGAGGAACAGTCCTCTGGAACGGAGCAGTCAGCAAGACCTATTCCCACCAACCGGACGATAAAAAATTTCAACAAGTGCCCACTTTAACTTATCACCTCAAACCCGTGAATGGAAGAGCAGCGGGACCAAGCTGGCTAGACACAATTCGCCAAAGTGAGAAAAATAGGGGAAATAAAATCAGAAGATGAGGCTAACGGAAACTGAGTGCACGATAGTGCCATATCCGACAGTGTATTAATAAGCCTTCTCAGTCAGTCGTATCCAAGGCGGAATAAAATTCCTCCTTTAAAAGATCGTGTTCCTCCATATATCGCTCGACATGGTACTTAATGCTACCAAATTGCATTCAACAGGCACGAATGTCTGTAAATGCGTACTGTTTGTTGAGTGACCAATCCCAAATCGGTCAATAACATCTCAAGAGATTACATGGAATGGGATATTAAATGACTATTGAACTGAGATTCATCAGTCGTATCGTAGGGTGCGGCGCAGTGTATATGGGGTTGGGAATCTAGCCATGTCCGACACTGAAACTCAGCAACGATTGTCTACACTGAAGCTAGTTAATCGCAAGCTAGCAAGCATATTCGTCAAACTAACGTGGTATGGCCCAAGTTGAGTCATTATCATCATCATCATCATCAATACATGTTAGCTGGGAGTGAGAAATACACCTCAGCTAATGTGTCGCAATACAAAAAATACCAAGAATGATACACCACAAAAAAGCGGAAAAAGCAAGTAATATAAAGTTAAATACCGGAGTATGCATTAGGTATGATATCGTAATCGGAGGCCGTAGCCTAAGAACGTGACACGGTTCCATGACGTCTGTGAGCATAATACGGGGTGCTACACAACTTGCGGTAGTATGGCTGAGTCATGCCGGAAGCTGGCGAAATAAGTCCGTCATCATACGGGTTGCTATCCGACCGGCGGTAGCAGGGGCTAAGTCACGTGGGAAGCTGATGAAGTCAGTCCATCAGCATGAAACAGGTTGCTACGTGACAGGTGTGTGTGAGCGCGACTACAGCTGGCCAGTGCGGACCGCAAGCAGGTTAGAAATCTGCCCAGGCAAGTGGCTTGAATTAGCTCAGGAACGTACAACCGGAGATGATAGAATGTGAACTATAAAATGAACCGGGTTCTGTGCCTAATATATTTTGGTCTAGCCGGCTTCGGTGTATTTTTTCTTCCCCGACTGGGTTAGCAGCGCAGAGAGTGGAGGCGAGGGCAGCGTTACAACATATCGTAATGGGAGGGAACATATGAAAAGAGGGGGGTATACAAAGAAACTCACAACTCCAACGCCATTGCGACCGGCTCCTAGCCAAATCAGCAAGTGTGTTTAACCAAACGTGTTCATCGTCCTTTGGACCTCAGCCCGGCAGTCGGGATGCATCAATCGACACCAAGTTCCAAGTAAGGGATTTCATCCTTCTAGACCAAGTAATCGCTTGCACCCCCTCCTTCTCTTCATTCCACACCTCCAGCTCACAAACAACGCACAGCACACGAGTTGGTGTCCTGGCATGTGCAACACGTGGCCAAGCCATCGGAGGTTGGTGCGTGATATAACCGTGCTAATCGATTCACCCGCTCTTTCTGCACAAAATACGCGACGCCGAACACATTCACTACTCACGTAGTGCTCCCACCAGACATGAGCTAAGCTGCGAAGGCAGCGATGGTCGACGAACACAGCTAGCCTCTTTATGTCTGTCGACCTAATGAGTCAGGTTTCACAACCGTATAGAAGGATTGAGCGAGAGTGAGGTTGCGTCGGCGCCATAGGTGGCGGAGGTTGGCAAAATCACCTTGAGCTTTTGGTATACGGCTTGTCATCTATGCTTAGTGATGTCTACGCGTAACGGTGTGTGGATGGAGCATGGGGATGTAGTTACCAGTCTATGTAAGATTACATATGCGCGCGGATACTCCGCGCGCCCTATCACTAAACAAAATGTTGAATAGACGTCCATCTACCACTAGGTTAATAAAGGACTACGGCCAAATGACGTGGCTGGTCGGAGAATGACATGACTGTCACTCACACACTGCTGCGGAGGGTCGGCTGACATGAAATTTGGGCTAGTGGCGCAAGGGGGCAGTGAGAGCGGGTGACACACTAAATCATGACTTACTTCAGAGAGTGCCGCAGAGTACATTTTTCTACTGCCATAACTATGCCCCTGGTGGGTTGAGTTTACACTCCGGGAATATTTCACGCAATTGTCTCACGGTTACCAGATAGCCTAATAAAGGGACGCAGTTGCAAGCAATTGCGCATCTATGTGAAATATTCTGTGCGACATCCTTAAACAATGCAAGCAGCACGTCACGCGTTCGATAACGGTGGGCGTGGTCGAATTATCAGTTAACTTCTGTTGAATATAAAGCAGCATCGGCAAGGATAATGTGATCAGCAGCAGATGCACTGAAATGCACGTTGTGCCGTAGTGATATAGTCGAGAGGTGAAACGACTAACCGGCTAATGACTTTCTATCTTTACTAGTCTGAATGCAATTATTGCTGGTCTTTTGTAACTATTGTCAAGGAGAACGGATACGTTTGTAAAGAACGCTTATGAATTCGCGCGAAACGAGTCGGATGAAACGATGATCCATTTTAAGGTTGACGCGTTCTTCACCAATGCGGCGAAAAAGCGACGTGCTGGATATGGTCAAACGCTGTTTGACTAAAGGGAGTAACGTGGGAGAGAGAGGTCGAAGCTTACAGTGGATGAAACAATTGTGGGAAAGACATTGCGTCGTAGCACGTCTTAACTTATGTTTCAAAGGGAAATAGAATTATGCGAATATTAAGATTTTCCCATGAGATCGTCAATGTCCGATAATTGGAACATGGCATTGGCAAAAAGCGGTGGATAGCAGAAAAGTTGTTGGCACCAAGTGAGCAGCAAAAATTGATGAGAAATATGCTTTACTGCGAAACATGTGAAATCGCTCAAAGAGGCTACAGATTAAACCATTGAATTGGTATGTTTCTGTGGTGCAGTGTCATTCCTTGACTGCCAAGTTCGTAGGAATTGCGGTAGCGTAAAAACAATGACATTTCATAAACTGACGGACACAGATAAGATACTACGTTACAATTTAAGTCACACAGAGCATGTGACTTTCGGGATGTCTTTTTTATGTTTCACATAGTTAAGATCCTGTGCACAGAGGAAGAGGATGGGTAGACCGTTTGGAAGCAAGTGATGATAGTGGACACGCGAAACCGTTAGCGAACAACCCGTTAGAGAATATTCTAGACCCGCATTTACATTGTATCACGGAATGGATTGGGACGGTAGGAATTTGTCCAAGGCAGAATGAAGTTCGGTGGCCATTAAGAGGGCACTAGCCAAGGAAGAATAAGGGCGATTTGCCAAAAGATTCAGAATCCGTTCGACACTGGTGCATTTCAAGGACTCAGGTCCCGTAGAGAAGATGATTAAGTGCCTGCGTACAAGACTAACAGACCAAATGAAGCGTACGTCACGGCTATCGAAGTTCATGTTGCATTCATTATGCTTCTTCACAGCAGTTGGGCTAGACCAACTTACACTTAATTTAGGTCCCTTTAATCGGGATAAAGGTCATTCCTCTTTATATAGTTGGTTCAATTCTGTGTCAATTTTGCGTGTTTGCCTTCTCTATTGTTGCTTGTTTGATACCCCCGGTGTGGATGCGCTTGATGTGCATGTTGAGAAGGTGCCTACTTGTATAGTAC